AATCACCCGTCAGCGGGATTGATCTGGGGCGCTCAAATCGGCATAGAACCCAGTTAAGCTGCGGCTGTAGTTGAAATCACAATGCTATACCTTTTTATTTTCTACCTACTATAATTTTCATGGCAGGTTACTAAGCGAAATACAACCACAACAATTATACAATTATACAATTATAGAAGGCAGAAAACAAAAACGTTAAACATTGTGATTTCAACTACAGCCGCAGCTTAACTGGGTTCTATGCCGATTTGGGCGCCCCAGATCAATCCCGCTGACGGGTGATTGCTGTGGCAAAAAGATCGATAGAAATAGCTGAGAGACGTGCGAAACAAAGGACCCGCATGGTGTGGTGGTGAACCGCGTTACTCCCCGGAAAGGACAATAGCGCGTTCGTTCCCCACCATAGACACCTGCGGTCCAGAGTTTTGCAAATATCTCAGCAACGTTGTGGTTGTATTTCGCTTAGTACCCTGCCGCGAAATTATAGTAGGCAGAAAATAAAAAGGTATAGCTAAACAATGTTTCTTCTTGTGTTTTTTCAGTTTGGAATTAAAAAGTGTTATAGATAAAAAAAACCCAGAAATTTGGTGTACTGTATAAGATGACAATCTATCCATCTATTAGATGCGTTTATACTCAAATCACTACGAGCAGTGAAATGTCGCAGCAAATCTGAAAGGAAGGTTGAACCTGTGGCTTTCAGACTCACTACTACCAGCCAGGATTCACAATGGTCGGCGGTGGATTTATGACGTTGAAGTCGAATACCAGACAAGAAAAAGATCTCATTCATCCGGACACTGTTTGGATTCACGACAGAGTGAAAAAATTCGATCCAAAGAGGAACGCCGTAAAATTGTCGTCAGTGTTTTTAGAACATTTGTGGTATTCTTCTACATAGTGGTAAATATAGTGGTATAACTTCCTCATTGTACTCGTTAGCTTTGAAACCTAGTGGAATATTTTTGCTTGTAATTGTTCTTATGTAATTGTAATGTGTACGTCCATATGCACTCTTTTGTGGGTTGGTACCCAAGTGCTTCATTATGCACTGACTAGTTTTCCATATTTTATTTTAACTTCTCTATAACTTCATTAAGTTTCACACTTCTGGACAAGATGCCTACTTATTTGTTTAATTAATTAATCTTGTTAATTAAGTAATTAATTATTTAACTAGATTATTTAGTTATACCTCTCAATGTTTTTTCGCCTCGTTGTACCTGAGAGGTGTTCCTGGGTGTCGGACTGTCATGTACAGCGAGGGGATTCATCCTCCTAGCAGTCTCCTAAGCTGAGGAATCCGGCGTTTCCATCAGGAAGCTCGGCTAAGAGTAAACCAATACCAGGATCCACCGCCGTCTTGGTATCAAACTATGCTCTGTTCCACAAGGGCGGTCCCTGTCTGTCGTAGTGACGACCTGGGGTAGATTTGGACCAGGCTATCCTCGGAACCATAGGGAACAACAATGGCCAATTACCTGCGAACATCTGAAAAATGAAGATTATACTGGGATCTACACAACCAGTGAAGACGGGCCATCCAATTATTCAAGTTAATATTTATTTATATAAGCGGGGTGAGTAGCGCAATAGTTCTGACGTCATTTACTACGAGCGTGATGCTGGTTAGACGCCGCTCCAGCTCACGAAGGCCCTCATCTTTCTGGGGTTGGAGAACTGGTACCAAACTTGTGTGGGATCAGCTTAGTGCTTCCATTTTTAGTCGGAAACACTCTCATGTGGCTGTAGCAGTACATTAGGGAGCTTCGACTCGACCGCATTCATAACGAAGCCGAAAATCTTCAGGCAGTAGCCAAACTCAGCTACGATCTCTACAGTAGATGTTAAGATGGATCATGTAGAAAAATCTTATATTAACCGTATTAATGACAGTGCGGATTGCAACACTTCCATTTGACTCGTTTTCCGTGTATTCATCATATCCGAAGGGACCTGCACGTGGGTTTCACTAATACTTGGAGATTTTGCCTTCTTCATGAATACCATTGAATGCTGACAGAGTTTATCATTCTTGGAATCCTGAAATAACTCAGCTAGAGCGTCTTGAGATCTTCGCAGCAATCAGCCGCTTGCCGTTGTAAGTTTTCTTTGTAAGTTAAGAGGGGACTTTTTCAGACAAGTATGACATCGATCTGTCGACCCTGGAACGATAATGGACGAGGTTGGCTTGAACTTTAATGACGGAGTATTGTTGAATTTTAGTATAAGCCAATCGATATAACAAGGAAAGCTTTCAGATTAATATCAAGAAGCTTGTCATCCGGAAAAAGATCTTCCATTAGATTTGGAGGAAAGAAATGATTTGCTCTTTTCTATGAAATATTTCTGTTTGTGCACTTACTTGAAAGCCAGAGATTACTATTGTAATTCTGATCTTCCAGAAATGGTGATGAAGTAACCTATGACTATATGATATTGGCTACAGGTGTACAGCTACGTTGGGACATGGTAAGGTTTCATGAGAAGCAAGCGTTAGTTAGTGTCTTGAGAAGAATGGCTTCTTTCAGGTTAAAGGACTTCCAGAAGCTTTAGATACACCGGGAGTCTGCTCAAACTATTCACCATTCCACTGCGAAAAAACCTTCAAAGAACTGAACAGTGTGACGGTAGGTCGATATTCATAGCACTTGCTAGTGGTCCATCAAAAACTCCACGAAGAAATCGCTGTTGTGGGTACATAGAATAGATTTTTGCTATCGTCTGGGTAAAGTGTTTCTAGCAGGAATAGTTACATCTAACTAATCTATGGACTTTTTGTCTATTGATTTCTTGCCGAAGTATACGAAAAGACAGAAAGGAGATCTCCTAGTTTTTTCGACGAGGTTCTCCTTTTGCCTTCCTAGTACCAGTTGATGGCGTTCCATAGAAAAAGTGAAGGATGTCATATCCGAGTAATCTTACCTGTTTCAAGAATGATAGCCCTCTAATCGTATCTCTGTTCCAGTCTGGAAATTGTGTGTTTACTTTTCCAAAAACACCAATTAAATGTGCTGGTGCTCCACAAAAGGTCTGCTACTATGGTGAACAAATCGTCCGTGATCGCGGTTATCGCAAGCATACTCATTTTATTTATGCGACATCATTGAGTCGAGTAAGTGAAATTCAGTCTCTTACATTAAGTAATCCACCGAGATAGGCGAAAATACGATGGAGCACGTTTTGCTAAGCCGATGCATGTGACTATACGGGGTTGAAGGGTCACTGACGATCTATCGAAGCCAACCTCTACTTCCTCAAGGGCTTGTAGATTTGACTGAGTTCTCCAAACTCTAAATAAACGTAGAAATTCGTTCCAACTGTCAGCTAATTTTTAATTCTAGTTTAAAAATGTGTGGTTAAACATAACCTCCACTGACTTTTGAACCTACGGATTTAGGTTATACGAAACTTCCGGATTCATTCAGTCATAAATTAACTCTCCATTTTTTGCGTAGTTGATTTTTAAAGGAGAATAACTGAAACTTTTTATATTTGCAACTATGGTGAGAGTGTTCGTATGACTCGTATCACATACAGTCACGCTGATCATCACGATAAACTCTAGTCGTTTCGCGTACCAAAGCTGCTCGGTGTGCTGAACTCGTCCAAAGGACACAAATAGGACTGCACTTTTTAATGCTCTTGTTTATTGCTTTGATAAGAAATCACCCATGAGCACCCTTCACAGCCCTGTCGTAGTGTAGACTTATTCATAGCCAGGCGTCCGGAGAGAAATACCAGTCGCCTCCTCTAATTGGGTAGCAGCTGACTCTTGGGGTGAATCCTTGCTGCTCATCGCATATCGACATACAGGAACTTTGCCTAACAACGACGAGTGGGGTATGCGGAACTCTGGGCTAATGGAGAAGATTCCACCCAATATCATTTTGTTGATAATCCCAATAGATCGGCTGAAGAGGTGATTAAGAACTGCAGCACAGTCGATTCGTAAGTGATTATGTAATCGTCGAAAACTTCAAGTCGATGGAACGTTATAAAGATTCCTCCACTAGGAAATATTATGGACGATGGTTGTCGATTTGTGAGAATTTGATTCTAATCTGACTACTAAGATGAAAAGTGATGAATGTACATCAATGTGAAAGCGACCATTGAAGTCTCACCGAGTCCGAGTCACCCACCCTATATGTGCGCATATTTAATCCTTCCCATATATCTAGGGCGCTGATAGAGCTGTAGTTTAAGGCGACTTGCAAAACACTGGATCGGCTGATGCTTCGACTCCGCTCACTGGACTCACAAGGCCTTCACTTCATCCGGAGTCAGCAAATTTCTGCTAGACTTGCCTGGTAGCATAGCAGCACTGACTTGATATATCGGTTGGCCTTCGCAAGTTATTGTATAGACCAGATATGGATTTAATCTCTTCTATCATGCTTGCTAAAGTCGAGTGTGTGACATATCCCTAATGGATTGATTCATCTCGAAAGTTTTATCTCTTTATACCGTATGTCTTCAAGTACTATACATCTTCCTTGTCTTTAAATACCTTCTTTAAACATCTAAATATCTTTTTTATATAATCTTTCTTTGATGAGCTTACACGAGGTTGATAAATATACTTATTTTCGGTTAACGTTTTGACGTCTTCGTCTTCAACAGCTGATAATCCGAGTCCACCCCACGCTTGTTATTCTTGAAAATCGGTTTCGAAACATTACTACGCTTTGTACTAGCTGATAATAACACCGACTTCTGCGGGATGGATTTTCCGGAAGAAAAACAAGCTGCTAACATTGTTATCACCGGAAAATCATTATATCCTCCATCAGCATCCTGCATAAAAGGGCATCACCTAGTGAGTATGCCATTCGAGGAGAGATGGTCCGCTGTGGAAGACCTGACTTGATACGAAGGCGAAGGCGCCACATCGGGACGAATAACAAGCGTGGGCCATCGACTCGGATCATCGGCTCTGAGGAAGACGAAGATGTCGAAACAGCCTAAAATAAATATATTTATCAACCTCGTGTAAGCTTATCAATGAAAGAATACATATTGATTAGTCATACCGAGGTTGAAGGAAAGTCGGTTTCGAAATATTACCTTCTTTTTTATTTATCATTACGTTAGACGACATCACATCTGTCACATTATGCGGATCCCAGCACCTCTTGGATTCTATTCGCTTCCTCGCGTCCATCATCCATAAAGATCTCTGAATTTTTGTACCTGTGAGTTCAGCTGCTCCTTGCCGGTTTTTTGTTTCTTTATGAGTAATGTTGCACGCTGGTCGAGTTGATTGATTCTCCCTGGAACCCTGAGAAAACCGTGCTGGAGCATTTCCACGTGGATTGGAGTGAATAAGCTTCTCCTGAACTGATCTGGTACCAGTTTTTTGAGCCCGGAAGGATAAAAGGCTTACTGAACGGGATCACTACACTACGCTGCTGCAGTATACCTTACCGTTTTTAATCCTGTTTTTTGCTAGGAATTTATGAACACATACCTATTTTATTGGTGGGAAATTGTGAACTATTCCAATAAGGTATTTAAAACATATTCAGCTTTTCGGTGTCGAGGCGTATTTGAGTGCGCTGAACAAAGTGGCGCGTGAGAAGGATATCGAGGTGCGAACCCGCCACAATTTAATAGAGGTGGACGCGGATAGAAAGGTAGCCAAATTCGAACTTCTCGACGAAAACTGCCAACCAAATGGGGAGTTCGACGAAATTCCAGTAAGCTCTTTGCAATAAAATATGTTTTTTCTAGTACGCCGTTCGCCTTGAGTCTATCCTTGTTGTAATAGGGCAAAAGATGCCGTCGTATGACAAGCCATAGGAGCAGCTGAAACAGGTAACATAGACAGAGATAGAAGAAGTCTGTCTAGAAAGCCGAGTAGTGCTTGAAAGGTGGACTTGGCGAGAGGATTCAATGCCTATTTTTCGAGATGCGGCGCGACTTCTGTAACTTAGGGAATAATCTCAAACTGAAGTAATTATAACTCGTGAAGTTAGAGCAGTCCACTGACTTTTTTCATCTTTAATGAGAATCTTAACCCTTTTATTTACTGCCTTTTTCTTTTTAATGGCAGGGTATGTTGCGAAATATAACTCGTATGTAATGCTGAGATATTTGCAAAACTTCTGACCGCAGGTGTATGCGGTGGGGAACGAGCACGCGCTGTTGTCCTTACCGGGGAGCACCGCACTTCACCACCACACCATCCGGGTCAATGAGAGCCTTTAATGAGAGTCAACAGGTTTTTACACGACAATTATCCGATTTTGAATATCGTGGTTCTTATTCCTCTAGTGGGCCATCTAACTTACTAAAGACAGTCACAGTCACAATCTGCTTCATATCATATTGAAACTTCAGGATTAGATCCACGATTACATTGTTAACAGAATGTTAACTTTTTGATTTACTGCCTATTATAATTTCTCATGGCAGGGTATTACGTTTGGTACAACCACAATGATATTGAGATATTTACAAAACTCTAGACCGTAGGTGTTGCCGATTCGGGCTCCCTAGATCAATCTCGTTGACAGGTGATCGCTGATAGCGCTGATTGATAGAACTAGCTGAGAGGCCGGCGAAACCATGGACCAGCATAGTGTGTTGGTGGTGAACGCGTTAGCCCCCGGAAAGAGTAACAGCGCGTTCGTTCCTCACCGCAAGTACCTGCAGTCCGGAGTTTTGCAAATATCTCAGCATCTTTTTTAACAGATTTGTTTTTTTCTTGTATGGTGTTATTACTGTTTTAGTACTCTTTACTACATGTTGGTCCGCCTTGTTCAACTCCACCAGCAGTTCGAGAATGCCGTGAATTAACCGACGAAAATGGATGGGTTGATGTTGATCACGCAACGCTAAGGGTGAGGCTTTATTCTAGTATTTCCTGCAAAACAAAAGCGCCATTTATGTTCTGAGTCAAATTTCTTTCACGGTTAACTAAGGAACATAAAAAGATCAGATTTTGTGGACAATGATTTGTTATTCGATTGATAAGCGATGAAAGAAAAACGAGATGACTTCAGAGGGTCGTGTAGCGTGTTTTATTACCGTTTAGCGCTATACCTACTCAGGTGAGCTAAACTCTTCGTTTCTAAAAAGTCATCGAAATGACAATAAATAAGTAAATCTTTAAAAAAATGACGCCAATGTTCTTCCTGAAATTATCGTTTTGTCCAGATGAGCTCTGATCAATCGTATGAAATAAAGAAAGTGGAATGTTTTTTCTTTTAGTTATGATATATTATATATATATATATATATAATACATAATTAAGCATATTTCAGTCGAAAAACTTCCCAAATATTTTCGCCGCTGGGGACTGCATGAACACACCAAACGCGAAGACGGCGGCTGCAGTGTCGAGTCATTTGAAGACGGTCGGGAAAAACTTGAAGGCCGTCCTAGAGGGACGAGAACCGCCAGCTACGGTATGTTGCCAATATAGCATTAAAATGTAAGGACACACGCACTGCGATAATGGTAACTTATTATTCGACAATTTTCACGCATCGCAAACGACTCCGACAAATTAGAATGTGTTATCTGGGTTCCTTCGAACGGTTTACCGCTTCGTCGTGGCTGAGAGGTGTTCCTGGGTGTCGGGCTGCGATGTACAGCAGGGGATCCATCTCCTGGCAGGGTCTCCCAAGTTGAGACGGAGTCCAGCGTTTCCATCAGGAAAGCTAGCTAAGAGTAAACCAATGCCAAGATCGACCATCGTCCTGCTACCAAATTAGTCGCATGGTGGCAAATCTCCTTCTGATCCACAAGGGATGCGACAACCTGTTGTGGTGACGACCTGGGGCAGACTTTGGCCAAGCTCACCTCGGGATCCCAAGGAACCACAATGGCTAGGCCAGCAAATCTCTGAAAAATTGGGGATTACGCTGGGACCCACACAATTAGTAATGACAGGTCATTCAAGCATCCAGGTATTCAAGTATCTGTGTTCATACTTTTATGGACTTGGTGAGCACCACCGTCGAGAATACGGTGTTTGATTCGATTACGGGCTTCAACTCACCTAAATGCTACCATGTGTACTCGTACATTAACTACTAGTTGGCAAACTTATATGGGATGTAACACAACACCGACCTATCAGTTACGAATAATACATCCATTTCCTTAATGAATTCACAGATATAGCACAGCTGTGGAAGTATATCTACTACTGCGACCTGCCTGCATGTGAAGCCATCGCGGGCTTTTGAATACGCTAATGAAGCTGAACCTTGTTAAATGACTACGCTCAACTCGCCAAGTCATATCACATGTGCAACCTATCCTTCCATAAATCGTGGCAGGACGCGATCTGATACCAGTGAATTCTCGAATTGTCTCACTCGAGTTCAAACGTTGCTCACTGGGTTCCATTCGCTCTATGAACTCGCTTAACATAATATTTGTCCTCCACTTTTTTAGTGAAAAGTTCTGACTACAACGTCGACGGTCTCACTGGTGTTCGCTTGGGGCTGAGACGCTTACGGCTTTCGTTAAGAAGCCTCACCCTACCCGTAACACTTGATTTTCTACACCTTTGTTTGTATAGCTGAGTTTCTGACGCATCACTGACGTAGGCCTGAATTTCGAATCCCCTTTCTCGCTTCCGTTATATGGGGTACACCTAGCACCGCCCTCTCAACCTCGATGACCGTATATGATATATATATATATATATATATATATATA